TAAAAAAGCAGCTGCATGTTATTTTACCAATATAGAACAAAATAATAAAAAAGAATATTATTTACATTATTAATCATTTATTTATTTATAAGAATACAACCAAAATCTTAATAAATATAACATCTGAAAAATAGGTGTACTTTTTCGTACAATACATTCCTTTTTAACAAATTCGAATAAAATTTCCTTACAACTGTCAATATTTTCATGTTATCGTAAAAGTATGGAAGTGACTATTCAAATTTAAAATATCTGTTATAGAACAACGCAAATTTGCCTGAACACAACATACACGATTCAATGGATATGTATTTTCAGATGCATGAGCGGAATAGTTTCGAATTTAAGCGCTAGTATAGCCGGTACATGTGTTCCGGAACTGGGGTGACGATCGTGTACTTTATTATCACAAACCGTGGTAGCATATACAGCTGTAATTCACAACAATGGTGGTGCCGGTTGTGTTTTAGGTTAAAGTTGCGCGGTTTTCAGTAACTTTAGTCCAATTAGCATTGTGAAAGATGGACAATAGGATCACAATATGTAACCCTGATGAAGAAGAAATCAACAATGAAATATTTCGGGATATTGAGCCATGCACGTGGATCAACGATGATCCGAACTATGATTTGGATGAGTTCAACATGTTCTTCCATAGGGTGGATTCAGATCAGATCATATACGAAGAAAAAAAGAAGAAATGTAAATTTATCGGTAAATATGTTATGGGTGATGTTCTTGGTGAAGGTAGTTACGGAAAGGTGAAAGAAGTGCTGGACTCAGAGACACTTTGTCGAAGAGCTGTGAAAATCTTAAAAAAGAAGAAACTTCGTAGAATCCCAAATGGAGAGCTTAGTGTTCAACGGTACGATAAACAAATTTTTATATTTTTTGTTAAGTTTTTCTATGCATAGAATAAAACCAACTAAAAGAATTTTGAATTATTTGTATTATGTACATAATTTATTGAATTTCACACATGATATCACATGGTTTTGCATGTATATTCTATGTATTTTCTATTACTTACAAACAAAACAATGAAAGAAATGCTTACTTTTAGAGTATTCACATTAAAATAACAAGAATGTATGTAGAAGCTGAAATAAGGAATGTAATGTAAACATCTACATAATTAGATTGAATAAATGTTTTATTAAAAAACTTTTGAATATTAGTTAAGATATGGAACAAAAACACATTTTGTGTGTATTATATAACTATTCTTATCATCAACTTATGTTAGAAAATATGAATACTTAAGTGTAAACATTGCTTTTACATTTGACATAATTTATTGTGTGTTTCTATAATTAACATAATATTTTCTTCTAAAAAAGGCTATATTGACATGTAAAAGTAATATATATTTTTCTTTTTAAGTCGTATATGCAATTACATTCTAGAATTCTAAATACTATTTGTTCGCATTCGTTAACAGGGAGATAAGACTATTAAGGATATTAAAACATAAGAATGTAATTAACCTTGTAGATGTTTTATATAATGATGAAAAGGAGAAGATGTACCTAGTTATGGAATTTTGTGTATGTGGATTACAGGTAAAGTTTGTTTTAAAGTATATTGTACACATATACTTCTATAAATTGATAGTTAATCATATTTAAATTCAAAATTAATTTAACATTTATAAACATTTAGAATGCTTTTGTGAAGACTTATAAATATTTTTTACTCTGTATTATAATAATGTTTAAACTTATCTATTTTATATATTCAATAACTTAGTAAAAAATATTTTAAACATTATTTTCTAATAAATATCTGTAAAAATATAAAAGAATGACTATTTTCAGCATAAAAGACTTTTTAAATGTTTTTCATAGTATAGCATAATAATGTTATAAAATTTAACAGTTTCATAAAATCTGCATGGAATTAACAACAATTAGATTTCTATTTATTAGATCTTTTACAGGATATGTTGGGAAGCACACCACTCAAGAAGCTTCCTATTTGGCAAGCACATGACTATTTCTGTCAGTTATTGGATGGTTTAGAATACCTTTACAGCAAAGGAATAGTACACAAAGATATAAAACCAGGGAATTTGTTATTAGCTTTAGATGGTACTTTAAAGATTAGTGATTTTGGTGTTGCAGAGGTGTGTATTTAATTTATTTCTTTTTATTATGCTAATGTAATTTTAACCATTGAACATTTTGAAATAGTATACTTACAAATTACTATTATCAACAAAGTAAATTATAAAATAAAATGTAAAATTGTACATTTTTTTATATTTCTGTTAGGCATTAGACATGTTTTCTGAAGATGATACATGTAAAATGGGACAAGGCTCACCAGCATTTCAGCCTCCTGAAATTGCAAATGGCTGTGAAACATTTTCTGGTTTTAAAGTAGATATATGGAGCAGTGGAGTTACATTGTAAGTGTATTTTTGTATAAAGGACAATTGTTTTTGCTAATTAAAGTTATAAATGAATTTCAAGCTGCAAAATAAAATTTAATTTTCACAGACAAATGTATTATGCACTTTTTAATATAATTGTAAACATTTTTAGGTATAATATAACCACAGGTCAATATCCTTTTCAAGGCGATAATATTTATAAATTATATGAAAATATAGGTAAGGGTGAATATACCATACCTGAAGAAGTAGAGGAGCCTTTAAAATCTCTTATACAAGGAATGTTGCAAAAAGATGCAGATAAAAGATTTACTTTGCAACAAGTTAAAAGACATCCATGGACTATATCCAGGCATCCTAGAACACAAGAAGAAGTGCCTATACCTCCTCTTAAAGGACACAAGTGGCACAGTATGACTGTACTACCGTACCTGATGGAATATCATTACGGAGGTGACGACAATCCTACGTATTATACTGAACATCAACTAAACGGTATGCATATTTTTATGTTTGCTTTTTGCATTGTGCTATGTGTTATTATATTTATGTATAAAAGCTTATGTTTTTGTCGCTATAGTATTTGATATTAGTTTATATATTTATAACTAACACAGAGGTAAGATAAACATGCTACAACCTGCATGCATGAAAACAATAATTAAAGAAATATAAAAGCCATATATTGATACATTTGTGGCTTAATATATTATAGCTCACAAATGGTGTTTGTATAATGGTTTATAAATTACATTACTCTAACTGTAATATTGATTTTATTTACTGAGAATGTTTTATAATTGCATTTTAAAATCAGCATAATATTTGCATGTATTTATTTGTCGATTGAGATGTGTATTGCATAACTTTTATGGACTTTTATTTTAAATGGAAAACAATAGAAATTTCTAATAAAAATATATTAAAATGTATCTACATTTTTTATACACACCATAATAAAGAAATATCATTGAAGAAAAAATACATTTGTACAAATTATAATTATAAAAGAAAATACATAAGCACGTCAATAAAATACAGCTTTTGCTTTTCAGATTCTAAACGGAATACTGAACAATCTTTTTCAAATCGACTACTAGTATTCTTATCAAAGACATGCACCATTCTGTAACAATGACACGCTTATATCTACCTATGATGTTGCGAGCTGACAGAAACGGGTACTCTCTATATAGTGTATACCCTGTTTTGCCCTTATGCATTTTGTAACATCTATATACAAATTGAATATGGGATTGAAATTTTTAACTCAACAGTATTTTGGAATAGCCCTCTGTATTAGCTTTTGCAATGTGTCATGCATATTTTGAACTGTGTGTAGTAATATTATAATTATTGCAGAAAGAACTTTTGTTTTGTATATTGCACGATCAACTTTAGTTATTATGTTATATTAAAAAATTAAAATAGGATTAACCCTTATAACACAAACATATAAACAAGTACTATATAACATTTATTTTTTTTTTTTTGTCCAGAAGAAAAACGGCTTCAAGAAATGGATAGAATCAGTGAAGACCAAAAAACTACTTGGAATAGTCACAATAGCAAACCAAATTCACATCAAAGTAAACGAAGGTGGCGCAAACCAATTTCATGTATTAATGTTAAGAAATTTCCATCTTGTAAGCCATCGTGATTTGACTTATTGTCATGCTTATTTTTTATTATATATTTTCCTGACTATGTCAGATGCAAAGTTTCTTTGCAGTGGAGATGACTGAAAGTTTAATAAATGCTGAAATGCTAGGATAGCTACCTAGCTATGGCTCGAATTGAGTATAAAATTTGAACTAATTCGAAAACATTAAATGTAAACATTTGTGATATTAATATTAAATAGTCATAGTAGATAATTCATCATGCTCTATTAATTATGAGGTTAATGACTCGACATTCAAATAAAGTGATTTTCTTTCATGTGCCATAATGAAGTTACAATTATTAAGGGTGTCTGTTTGTTAAACATTTTTTTCTATAACTTTTCTTTCCCTTTTTTTTTTGTTAACTTAGATGATAAAAAGGCCAAAAAAGCACATAAAACTGTATAATTTTGTCAATATTATTCCCACAATTATCATATTATCAACTAAATGGAATTCGTACTATTAGAAAATTCAAAACATTATTTTAAACAAAATGTGCGTGAGTTTTTTTTATTACCTTTGACTTTATTAAATAAAGTGTTTGTATCGTTTATATTCTTTCAGTGAAGGCAGAAACATTTGTTTATTAAACAAATTTGTTATATACTGCATTAACAAACTATTTGTAATATAAAAACTGTATAGTCGATGTTATAACGGAGAATGAGACAGATTATTTCAGCATAAAAAGTGCTTGGTGCTGATAATATCAATACATGTTACAAACATCGTTTTTAATTAATATTGAAACTCAACTCCAATATATGTACATGTTAAAAATATTTTATATATAACTGTTATTTAGAAAATATGATCTGTGTTTGTAGACTGCGTATATATTATAGTATTATCATCGTGAGATGACTTGTAAACACTTAATGCAATGCTTGTAACATGACTTAATACAAAACAGATATCGATTCTTCTATAATACAAAAATATAAGGATTGTTTCACATACATACTTACAATAGGTATTATCAAAGCGTACTTGAGTATAATTAAGGATATATGTAATATTGTTGATTTATACATCTGCTTTTAAATTTCGTACTAGGTATTCCAGATTCGTGCTTTAATATTATATAAAGTATTGTCAATGGGGTGTGATAAACTTGACGTGCGTTATATCCTTGTATATGAACATATTACGCAGATATATTTCAAGTACGAATTGTAAATTTATTAGTTGAAAAATATGCGACCAGTTTAAGGCAAAAATGTATTATGTATCCAATACGCTTCTATGGCAAAATTATTTATTTCACGAAACAGATATTCGCAGAAATTTTATTACAACAAGAATAAGAAATATTCGTTTTAGAATAAGCGAAAATCAATAATATCGATATTGATGTTATTTTAAATACGTTTATTTCGTCTAAGTAATTTATACAGACACAAAATCATAACGAAATGTTATAACATTACGTATCACGTGAAACTGAAGGTACAGAGAATACGAATATACATACATTGTTCTTTCCTTGGAGAAATTAAGGTGCCTAAATACTGCCAAGTACTGAAAGCACATGAAAAACAGTCATACTTTTTCTGATTGTACATATTATACATATATTACCTCTATCTTCGTATATATTGCAAATAAATAAGGAATTATAATTATATTTAATTACACAAAGAAAAATGGAAAAAATGATAATTGAAAGATAGACATTTATATCAAATTTATGTGATAATCTAAATTTTTTTTATTTAAAAATCTCTTTTTACTGTAAAATTTAATATACATATATGTAACTTTGCAAACACATGTGGGATATTAAATAAGAAAAGTATGATAATAATTTTATGATGAAATAGGACATGTTCGTTAATAACGAAAACAAGTTTGTATACTACTCTGTTAATTAATTTTAATTAACAATACTGTTATACTTATCAAACTTACAAGCATACAAAATAAAATTAACAAAACTGGTAGTAGATTTAAAAAATGGACATATATAAAAAAATATATGCGTACTATTTTTATATACCAGTGGTATATTATGTTCCCTAATATTTTTTTTACGCGTATCTCTAAATATTATACTTTATTGCACTAATTGTATGTTTATTCTTTAACTATTAACACAAATTTCTAATTGAAAAAGTAAGCAAAGTACTACAGTCAATGTATTAATCCCTTAAAGTTTTTACTTCAAATTATAAAAGATTTAAAACACAAGAATTTTTATAACAAATATAACTTATTTTTAGTAATTATTCTGCCTATTTCTTAATATTTCTATAGAAGTAAATAATTTGAACCAAATGATAACTAAACATTAATTAAAATTAAATAAAAATATTAAATCTACATTGAATAGTGATATGATGTGATACACGTGCATAGAAAAGAATGATTGTACATAATATACAATCATTCGAATATGACAAGAGTTTCTAGAGCACTTGTAAATATGGAATCGTCCGAAAACAACGGGTCCGCCTCAGTACACAAGGAGATTGAAATACTAAGCGTGAAAATATGATTTTGAAATAAGATCTTGTGACAAGAAGAAGTGGGAAATCCTGAAGGTTGAGAATGTCCAGGTATACTGCATTCTATTCGAATACAAATGTCAGTAATATTGAAGATCTCTTTAGTGAATTTGACGACGTTGATAACTTATTTCGTATCTGGGAAAGGCAACTCGAACTTCTGCAAAGATCTTACGCATTGGATGACAACGTGAGAAAGATCCTGATCTATTCAAAATTGAAAGGATGAATACTGAAATGGTTTTACTCAAAACCAGATCACCTGTATAAAAGTACCTATTTTGTAATTGCTCGAGAAAATAAGGGGTATATGTGTTTGATTAGCAACTGGTGTTTTCTTTTTTTACTGAGTTCTTATAATACTTTGTCTTTTACGTGCGCAATTTATATTACATGTAACATTTAATGTATGTAAATTATGTGTCGCGCTTTACGTATATCGTATAAATTTTGTACATTTGTATTCTCCACATTTGATCGAAAGAGTCAAGATGACCGAGCCGTAGACGGTTGAGTATAAATTTCAATTTCCCGCGTGTTAAACATTAATTTATAAAAAACGATTAATATTGCACGAATGGTAGCGAGCTGAAGTTAGCGTGACTGTGGTAGGCCCCGGTGACGTAAAGAGAAAAATGAAAAATTGGTAGGTAACTCTTTTTGAGGAGAGTCCAGAAAAGGACGTAAAAAAAAGCGTATATGAGAAAAATAAGAGAATAAAAAATAATAAAAAGTGTAATATCTAGTAAGAGAGAGAGAGAAATTGTGCCTGTGCGTTAACTACTCTCTACAATATTAATGTAATTAATTTACAATTTTGAACTATAATATACTAGAATTTGTATAAAAAGTATAGAGACAAAATAATAGTAATGACATACACAACACAACACTGTTATGATACTTTATTTTTAACTTATACATTATTAATTTCCATTAATTGTGAAAGATAATAATTTTGTTATAACTCTGTATGTAAGTTAATTTTGTTTAACTTTTATACATATATTGCATATAATCATAAGTTTATTATTGCATTATATTAACACATACATAGTCTTCATAAACATGGAGATATTCAAATTACAATGTTTATTAAGCATAACAAGAAATTTAATATGATATACAGTTTTTCTTATAGAGGATTTAACTCTATATACATATGATAAATTAGATAAAACTATTCATTTAATACATACACAATATACAGATAAATTGTTATAAAACATGATCTGTGTAAAGTTAAAATAATTTCCATTTCTCTTCAATTAATGTAAAGTATGTAAAATACTCTATTTCTTTTTATAACTCTCATTAAAATATTAATAATAACACAAATATCTGTGAATATTATGCTCTTGGAATGATTTTACCTCTAATAAATACTAAATTGCAATTACTAATATACATCACAACAGAATACACACATACATTTACAATAATAGTCACCATAAACTTTGAAGTAACCATAATCCTGCAATAAATTGTTATATTGATGACTATTATGTATAAATGGAGGCTTAAAAGTATTTGTTTATAATACATATAACAAATTTTTTCAATAAATAAATAATTACTACAATATCAATCATTAAAGAGACTTGTTATTGATATGGAATAAATCTATTTTTTGTTGTAGAACATAAGTTAAAACTAAAGGAAGCATTTCTCTGCACTTTGCAGAAATAATTTTCATTTCTATACAGATATAACAACATATAATATCTATTTCATATACAACCATTGCGTTCAATATAAGTTAAACTTTCAGTTTCAATAACAAAACAATAATTTAGAATATATGTAATATGCTATTGCGAATATTTAATTTTATTACCATCTAAAGAAAGTTTTACCTTTTGGCTATTATAGCTTCTCTTTTTTACATTTTAACTGTACATTTGTAATATAATCTTTTTAGATTAATGAAATTACCTTAAAGCATAAATTATTATTAAGCAGAAATATGTAACAGACTTAATTAAAAAAATTATAAATACTGCATATTTGGCAGAGACACTTAAAAGAAGTAACAAGAAATGCAATTTTTGAGTAAAATATATGCACAACTTTTATAAATAATTCAAATGCTGTTTTTATCTGCTTCTATGACACATATGTACCTTGTCATAACAATTGCATCTAATTCTTTTTCAACTGATTTATATTTAATATGCATGTAAATGCAAACCTGTTTATTACGTATTTATTGTGTATGATTATTCCGTAAACGACATCTAATTCATTTCTATATAAATAATTACAATTTTAAATACTTATTACTCTAGTGCACCTTCCTCTTCTAATTTCGAAAGGAATTTCGGAATTCTGTAACTTTGTTCCACTTGACGTACCATGTCTATCAAGCACAGCAATTTCTTTATACCAATAAATATTCTGTAACAAAAATGTGCAGATTATGTGTTTGATAGTCACATTTATATAATAATTAATATTTATTAATTTGTAATAAAAATATACCGTTTTCCCTGAAATTTGCCATGTAATCTTGTCAATTCTTCTTTATTAAAAAGATCTACTTCCTCTAGAACACTCATAAGATGGTCAGGAGTTGATAAATTAGGTACATGAAGAGTTGTACTAAATGCTGATAACATTTCCATATCATTCAAAACTTGCCTATAGAAAATATTTTAGTCGCGTTAATAAAACTCATCATCACTATAATTTTAAGGTATTATTATATTAATAAATATGTTACCTGCGACTCGAGGTACAGACTATTAACAATTTACGACCACGCGGTGGCTGCTTTTTTAGTAAAACTAATAATGCTTGCAAAGTCAAATTAGAATATCTTGGTCCAATTGGGCCATAATCTAACAAACGCTCAATATTATCAACTAAGATGCAACTAAGTTGTGAACGATATGCATCGTCGAATATCTAAAAAAAAAATGCATATTAAATGTAGATAATTTAACTTAATTAGACCAATTAAATATACCTACCTTTCGAATTGAAAGACATTTTGCAGATTCTGTGAAACCAACCATATCTTCTGGTGTACATACTTTGACAAATGGAAAGTTAGAATTTTTAGCTATTTGAGCTGCAAGGGCTGTCTTTCCACTATTTGGCGGTCCTTCTATCAGAACTGATACAAGACCTGAACCTTCCGTGGAACGAGCTTCTTGAATGTACAAATTACCATCAGATAGAATTTCTACCACAGGTTTACCCCAATTAATGATTCCACGTATAAGAAGATGATCCAATGCTTCTGCACTTGTACCAAATGCCTGTAAATTAGAGTATACTATATATAATAGATCAACTGTTACCTATTATTATTAATTCCCATTAAGTTGCTTACAGGTTTAACATCATTTTCTAAAGCATGAATAAAATCAGCTTTGGAAACCATAAGTTTTTCCATCGCAGCTGGATCTACTTCTACCTTACTAGAAGCTTTGATCAACCTATTCATAGCTGTACTTTGTGCAGCTCTAACTAAACCTTCCAATTCAGCACCACTAAAATTTTTAGTTAGTGTAGCTAATTCTTTCAAATCAACATCAGGTGATATTTTCTTATAATCTCTCATTCTGAATGTATGAATATTAAGGATTTGAAATCGTCCATGCTCCAATCTACCAGGTCGTAATAAGGCTTCATCAATCATATCTCTTCTATTAGTCATACCAATAACAAGAATATTATTTAATTGTTCTACACCATCAATTTTTGCAAGTAATTGATTTACAACGGTATCATGAACTCCTGTATTTCCAGCAACGCTACCTCGAGATTTACAAATAGCATCAATTTCGTCAAAAATAATGATATGCAATCCACTATTGGGCCCAAGCTGAACATTAAAGTTTATTTGTCATTTATATATTAATAAAATCTCTGCAAAATACTTAATGAAATTTTAAAATATCTTTATACCCTTTTCTCCTCGTCTTCAGCATCAGCAAATAATCTCCTAATATTAGCTTCACTTTCCCCAACATATTTATCCAAAATTTGAGGGCCATTGACGATTTTAGGTTCTCTAGCATTTAACATAGTGCCTATTTGTCGTGCCATTAATGTTTTGCCTGTACCAGGAGGACCATAAAGTAAAATTCCTTTTACATGTTTACATCCCAATTGTGTAACAATCTCTGGCGGAAAAACTCGTGATGCAAATGCTCTTCGAAAAATAGCACTAAACTCTTTATCCAGTCCACCAATTCCCATTTTCTGGAAATCCCAGTCTGGATTGATAATGGACTGACGAACAACTTTCCCTTTTGCTTTACCAATAAGATTTAAACTTGAATTTTCTGCTTTTTCAAACTGTATCACAGTATCACCCAAGCAACGTCCCATTTGAGTCTTTTTGGGTACAGTATTTTGTCCAGAACTTATAGCAGAAAGATCAGCAGCTTCTAAACTTTTAACCACAAGACCAAGCATTTTTTTATCTTTAAACTGAAACACCAACTGCTGACTCACGGTGAATGCCTGTCCCGAAAATTGTAATAAAAAATCTTTAGCCATTTCATCAGTGTTATATGCTTCCAAAGTAATCCTGAAATAAATTATATTATAAACTATATCAGCAATATTATTTTTATTTTCATTTAACTTTTGATATAATGTGCATACGATTTCTTCTGTAAAAAGTCAGCTTCCAACACAATTGTGCATAAACATTCTGTACTTGAAGTAGGGTTAAAATGATAAGCTTGAACTTCAATTTCTTGATTAAGAGAAAGAGTAGCCCATTTTCTTTGAGGTAAACTAAATCCCACAGTTCCCGAAAGTACTTCATTATGTCTTTTTATAGTAAATACAAAATGATAATTTGGTGCAGTGGTAACTTCAATATGGCTAAAAAATATAATTATATTACAGCTTTTCTTATAATATTTATTGAAAATATCTCTTTAAGTATTTTATGTATTTTAATAACAAAATATAAAAAGAGAAATTTAATTATTCAAATTATAAGTTAAAAGTAGAATTTATTACATAATTATTGTAACATTAAATTAAATTATATGATAAGAAATATAGATTAACATTAATTTGAAATTATTAATCATATATTATATGTATTTAATTTTGCAAATTATTTATTACATTTAATTTGATAAAGTTAACAATTACAAATAAAAGCAGCAATTAATTGCATTTCAACTAAATTACTTTATAGTTTTATCCAAATTTATGTATATATATGCAGTCACTTAAGCTTTAAATCTTATTATAGGTACCAAATCAATGAATTAATCAGAAGATGACATCTTTACCTGACATCATATGGAAAGTCATCTGGATTAATTATAGCACAATTTGTAATACTGAGTTCATCAGTAGGACATCTTACTGCTTTCATCTTCTGTAAAAGAATAAAATTTATCATTGAATAATAGTTATTGAAAGTATGTTACTTCCACAGTTACAAGTATTGATGAAACTTGAAACTAGGAGGGGGTGGTACAAATTATTTGTGAATGTACTTTTAATTAAATATTCTATACATTTATTACGTAGAATACATAATAATTTTTAAGTAATTTATTATACAAATACAGAATATTCTT